TTATTCATTCAGAGAGAGAGAGAGGCAGAGACACAGGCAGAGGGAGAAGAAGGCTCCACGCAGGAAGCGGGACTTGGGACTTGATCCTGGGTCTCCAGGATCACACCCTGGGCTGCAGGCAGCGCTAAACAGCAGCGCCACCAGGGCTGCCCAAGATTTTATTTGTTTATTCATGAGAGGCACAGAGAGAGAGAGAGAGGCAGAGACAGAAGCAGGCTCCATGCAGGGAGCCTGATGTGGGACTCGGTCCCGGGACTCCAGGATCATGCCCTGGGCTGAAGGCGGCGCTAAACTGCTGAGCCACCGGAGCTGCTCCTACCACTGCTTCTTAAGTAACTTTGATTCAAGATAACCCAAATAAGGGGCATTTGTGTGGTTCAGTTGGTAGAGCATCTGCCTTTAGCTTAGGTCATGATCCCAGGGTCCTGGGATCAAGCCCCACATCAGGCTCTCTGCTCCAGGGGGAGCCTGCTTCTCTGTCTACTGTCCCCCTGCTTGTGCTCTCTGTCAAATTAAAAACAAAACAAATAATATTGCAGAGTGGTATGTTTGGGGGGCACCCTGCTGTGGACCTCATCATTGGTTTCACTCCAGCTCTACTGAAATGGAATCTTTTTTTTTTTTTAAGATTTATTTATTTATTTATGAGAGACACAGAGAGAGGCAGAGACACAGGCAGAGGGAGAAGCAGGCTCCATGCTGGGAACCTCGGTCCCAGGACTCCAGGATCATGCCCCAGGCCGAAGGCAGGCACTTAACCACTGAGCCACCAGGCGTCTCTGGAATTTGACTTTTTTTTTTTAAGATTTATTTATTTATTTATTCATTCATTCATTCATTCATTCATTCATGATAGACATGGAGAGAGAGAGAGAGAGAGAGAGAGAGAGAGAGAGAGAGAGAGGCAGAGACACAGGAGGAGGGAGAAGTAGGCTCCATTCAAGGAGCCCGACGCGGGACTTGATCGATCCCGGGACTCCAGGATCGCGCCCTGGGCCAAAGGCAGGCGCTAAACCGCTGAGCCACCCAGAGATCCCCTGGAATTTGTTTTTTTAACAAGACCCTCTGCTGACTTATATACACTGACATTTGAAAAGCATTGCAGTTTAACACCTTTCTTGGAGTCACTCTATTTTCCTGCACATGGTTCTCACCTTTGGCTGCACCTCAGAAACATCTAGTGAGCTTTCCAAAAATTCATTTCCCTAGATCCCGGTTCCAGCAATTCTCATTTAAATTACCTGGGTTGGGCCAAATGTGAGGGGAACTTATGAAAAGCTCCCCTGGCAATACTGATGGGCAGCCAGGAATGAGAACCGCCGCTCTGGCTGGGACTGAGGGAGACTTCCAGTTAAATTCAGGTTGAAAGGATCCTCTTTAAGGGGCTGAATTCCAGACCAGAAGAAACCCTGGGTCTCAAGCATCATTCTGAAACGTATAGGCCAGGGGTTGGGTCAGCAAACCATTTTCCGTATAAGGCTAACGGGTATCTCTGTCTTTACATCCATGTGATCTCTGATGCAACTAGGCAATTCTGTCCCTGTAGAATGAACACAGACACAGGAAATGGAGGAGCATAATTGTCTTCCAAGAAACCTTTGTGGACATTGAAATCTGAATTTCATATAATTTTCATATGCTGTAAAATATTCTTTTGATGTTTTTCCAATCATTTAAAAATATATCTAATTCATTCAAGAGTTACACATCTAGCTAATCCAAATATCCGACCCAGTGAAAAGTTTTCTATTTTTAAAAATTTTGGGGCAGTCCTGGTGGCTCAGTGGTTTAGTGCTCCTTCGGCCCAGGGTATGATCCTGGAGACCGGGGATCAAGTCCCATGTCAGGCTCCCTACATGGATCCTGCTTCTCCCTCTGCCTGTGTCTCTGCCTCTCTCTCTGTGTCTCCCATGAATAAATAAAAATCTTAAAAAATATATATAAGCAACAGAAACGAAATCTGGCAAATTTAAGGAAATGAACTTACTGAAGGTTATCGGATAGTTCCTAAAGTCTCCATGAGGACTGAAAAATCAAATTCATGCCACTGAACTAGACGCATAAAGACTATTATTGCCACAGCCACTGGGCATAGACCCTGCAGTGAATACTGCCAATCTTGCCAAGTTGGACTCCAAATTCGCTGCTATACTGGCCACTCTTTTTTTTTTTTTTTAAATTTACGATAGTCACACACACAGAGAGAGAGAGAGAGAGAGAGAGAGAGAGAGACACAGGCAGAGGGAGAAGCAGGCTCCATGCACCGGGAGCCTGACGTGGGATTTGATCCCGGGTCTCCAGGATCGCGCCCTGGGCCAAAGGCAGGCGCCAAACCGCTGCGCCACCCAGGGATCCCTATACTGGCCACTCTTGCCGGAATGGAGTCGAGTCAGTCCAGGCCTCTTCGTTGTCCCTAGTATAATTCAAAATTGAGGGTGGGCCATAATATAATGCCTTGGTTGCAAAGAAGGCTGGAAAGGACTGCCTGGCATTTTCCACTTCTACAAGGTGAGAGATTCTCTCAAGAAAGCAGTTCACATGTGTGATGGCCAAAAAAGACAGTCAAGGCATCCATCCATATGAACCTCAAGACCCCTTCACTCCCCTACTGCTTCCCTCAGTTACTGCCTATCCACTCAAATTCAGAGTTGTTGATTTCAAGTATCCGAAGGATGGCCTTTGAAGAATTTTTTTTTTTTTGGCTTTTGAAGAATGTTAAACTAATGTAGAGATCAACTTGGGAGGCACTATGATATTTGGAAAAAAGTGCTCAAATGGAAATCAGGGGATTATAATTCTATTTTTTAAAAAAGATTTTATTTATTTATTCATGAGTGAGAGACACAGAGAGAGAGAGAGAGAGAGAGGCAAAGAGATAAGCAGGCTCCATGCAGGGAGCCTGACGTGGGACTCAATCCCGGGACTCCAGAATCAGGCCCTGGACTGAAAGTGGCGCTAAACCACTGAGCCACCTGGGCTGTCCAGGGGATTATAATTCTAAATGTATCACACATAAGTTGTGAGCATTTATATAATTCATTTAAATTACTTGGGTTTCAGAAACAATCCACAGAAAGGTCTTGTACAGAGGACATCAGACTTTTAATACTTTTCTTTTTTCTTTTTTTTTGACTTTTAACTTTCTGCTTTTTTTTTTTTTTAAAGATTTTATTTACTTATTAATGAGAGACACAAGGAGAGAGAGAGAGAGAGAGAGGCAGAGACACAGGCAGAGGGAGAAGCAGGCTCCATGCAGGGAGCCCGATGCGGGACTCGATCCCTGGACTCCAGGATCACACCCTGGGCCAAAGGCAGGCACTAAACCGCTGAGCCACCCAGGGATCCCCCACTTTCTGCTTTTATATGCAACGCATGGTTCTCTATATTTATTAAACTATTAACTTGGGAAATGTTATTTGCACCAGTTTTAACATGCAAGGTATAAATACTACTCAGGTTGTTCATGTATTATAAGGATGCTCACCAAATAAGTCGTTGTTTTTGGACATGAGCTTGCTATGGAATTAGCCAAAAATAAGGAGGGCCTACTGGAGGTTTTTGCCTGGAGCCTCATGTTTAAGCTTGTAACACTGATAATCCCTAAATTATCTAATTTTGGGATCCCGGGGTGGCTCAGCAGTTTGGCGCCTGCCTTCAGCCCAGGTTGTGATCCTGGAGTCCTGGGATGGGGTCCTGCATCAGGCTCCCTGCATGGAGCCTGCTTCTCTCTCTGCCTCTGTCTCTGCCTCTGTGTGTCTCTCATGAAAAAAATAAATAAAAAATCTAATTTATTTCCACTCTATCTTTTTGAGTGACTTTGTAATTATTAGCACAGACTGTCATAATTTTATTTTTATTCTTTTTTTTTAAGATTTTATTTATTTTTTCATGAGAGACACAGAAAGAAAGGGGCAGAGATACAGACAGAGGGAGAAGCAGGCTCCATGCAGGGAGCCCGATGTGGGACTCGATCCCAGGTCTCCAGGATCAGGCCCTGGACTGAAGGCGGCGCTAAACCGCTGAGCCACCAGGGCTGCCCCAGACTGTCATAATTTTAAAAGGACAGTGAAGAAAAAAGAAAATAAAAAGAACAACCAAAAAAAAAAAAAAAAAAAAAAAAAAAAGAACAGTGAGATTTGCTTGTGATTGGAAAGTTAAAAGTCTAAAAAGCACAGAACAGTTCTGGAAACCCTTTGTAAGTTAGATCCTGTAAATGAAATGTCAATTCATGCATGTCACTCCAAAATATTCAATCAAAAGCTCCAAAGAAAGGGCAAATAAAAAAATTCAACTCTGAAGTATGAACGTAGCTCAAGCACCCAAAAACAAGACTCTTCTTTATGTTAAGTTTAGAAGAAGTATCTGGGAGACAGGAAGGAAACGTGACAGCAAGAGATCAGTGGAGGATTATGAACTAGTAGGCAGGAGACAGAACTAGGAGCAAGGTGATCAAATGAGCCCTTGGTTACGTAACAACAAAAGAAAAGAGTTGATATTCATTTTTATTTTTCAATTTATATTTATTTATATTTTTTAAGATCTTATTTATTTATTCATGAGAGACAGAGAGAAAGAGAGGCAGAGACAGGCAGAGGGAGAAGCAGGCTCCATGCAAGGAGCCCGACATGGGACTCGATCCCGGACTCCAGGGTCAGGCCCTGGGCTGAAGCAGGCGCTAAACCGCTGAGCCACCTGGGCTGCCCTCAATTTATTTATTTATTTAAAAAAGATTTTATTTATTCATGAGAGACACAGAGAGGGAGAGGCAGAGACACAGGCAGAGGAAGAAGCAGGCTCTTCATAAGGAGCCTGATGTGGGACTGGATCCCGGACCCCAAGATCATGCCCTGAGCCAAAGGCAGATGCTCAACTGTTGAGCCACCCAGGTGTCCCTGGAGCCAAGGTTTTTAAAACTTAAAAATACAAAATATCACTGCATGCAAAAATAGATACATTTTAATAAAGCTATGTAGATTTTAAACATGCGACAAAATTCAGACTAGAACTTAAACTCAGTTTATTATTACCTAAACCTTGGGGCTTGGCATTTAACAATGATCGCACAAACCACTGGCCTCATAAGTCAAAATCTAGGATTGATACAAAAACCTATACATTTTCCTCTTAAGAAGCACTTCAAAGTACTAACAACTCAGTTTTACAAATCCAGAAAATAGATCTCTGACAGTGTAAGAAATGAGATGATTATCTTCTACATAAATCCTATGGTGGTAAAGGATCAAATGTTAGCTGTCCCAGTAGCGCTCATGTCTTACCTGGGGGAGCCTCCTTTGCCAGAAGAAATGGTTTCAGTTCATATGGTGGTTCTACTAAGTGGGGTGAGGTAAGAAGCAGTGGTGTTTCTCAATCTCCTGTTAGGACTCCATTAATTGAAGCACAAGGTAGAATCAGAACCCAGGGTTTCAGGATCCTAGCCTTCTCTAAAATTATAATCTTCATTATCCCTATATAATGGCTTCTTCGGTTCAGACTCTAACTCAGAACATTTCGTTCTCTCAAATGCTGTTCCCTGCAGCAGATTTGATTTTGCAGCTACTTCTGGAGCAGTTGCCGAAGCTTGGGAAACAGTCTCAATGCATTCTGTGTTGTCACTTCTATAACTTCTTCTACTGAGATCCCCTTCACCTGGGCAATATATTCTGCTGAAATGGAAATGTTTTGGGGTTCATTTCGTACCTGAAACAGAACAAAGCAGAAAGTGAATGAGATATGACACTCAAGGGAAGCCATCTTGGAGACCACAGATAAAACAGAACAACGTGAGTTGGTAAAAACCAATGAGTTGGTTTTTGTTGTTTTAATGTAATGTGAGGGGAGGCAAGCAGGAAAGGCAGAGAAGGCCCTGAACTTCAGCTTAAGAGCTACAGCCACAATGCTGTAAGTCAGTATTTCTCTTGAGAAGAGCCCTGGCATATTACCATTGAAGTTCTGGCACCTAGCATATGAAGCAGCCTGCAGGTGGTGACACTTGGTGATCTGCCTGCCTGACCTGATGGATTTTTTTTTTTTTTTAGATTTTATTTATTTATTTGAGAGAAAGAGAGAGAGAGAGAGAGAGAACACAAGCAGAGGGAAAGGGAGAGGGAGAAGCAGATTCCCCATTCAGCAAGGAGTCCAACAAGGGACTCAATCTCACAATCCTGAGATCATGACCCGAGCTGAAGGCAAACACTTAACCGACTAAGCCAGCCAGATGCCTCCAGAGACAGGATTTGAACCCAGGTCTTTCTGACTTAGACACAGAGCTTTTTTAGTATACTGTCCTGGCTCTCATTATATGTAAATTAAGACCTGGCCAATATCTGGTAATATTTGCTGGAGCACAACAGCTATATGATGAATAAAACCTCTTAACCAAGCTTTAAAATAGGATTCCACTGTATTTACACTGCAATGAGAGACACACAGCTAAACTGAAAATAGCTCAAAAGAAAGATACAATCTAAATAATGCAGGAATTAGATAATCACTTACCTGTTTTTCTGGTCCTAGTGCAGGTGAATCTGTTTCTAAGCAAATTGAAGTTAAAGGCAACTGTTTCACAAGTTTCTGCTTCTTAGAGAAAAGAGAAAGCCAGTCAGTTTAAAACATGAGACATAAAGATAAAAAAAGTTGCGTTAAACCCATGTACCAACGCAAACTACTCTGTAGGAACCTAAAATTCATGCTTTCATATTCAATTGACTACATACGTTACTAAATGCTCACCGCAATACATGTAGTTGCCATCTGTCACCATAAAAGATTATTACAGTACTACTGAATATATTCCCTATGCTGTACTTTTCAACACCATAACTTATTTTGTAACTGAAAAGTTTGTACCTCTTAATAACCCCCTTCACCTATTTTGCCCATTTCCTCACCCTCTTTCCTCTGGCAACCACCACTTTGTTCTCTTATGAGTCTGTTTTATTTTGTTTGTTCATTTGTTTTGTTTTTTAGATTCCACATATAAGTAAAATCATATGATACTTGATTCACTTAGCATAATACTCTTTTGGTCCACCCATTTTGTTGCAAATAGCAATATTTCATTCTTTTTTATGTCTGAATACTAAAGCATTGTTTATAACAGTGAAAAACTAGAAATGACTTAACCTTTGCTTCAGATAATGATTAAATAAATTATGTTACATCCACATTGTGGAGTATTATGCAATCACTTTATTTTTTAAAAAAAATTTTTAAAAATATTTTTATGTATTTATTCAAAAGACACACACACACAGAGAGAGAGAGAGAGAGGGGGGCAGAGACACAGGCAGAGGGAGAAGCAGGCTCCATGCAGGGAGCCTGACATGGGACTCCATCCTGGGTCTCCAGGATCTTGCCCTGGGCCGAAGCAGGCTCTAAACCGCTGAGCCACCCAGGGGTCCCTATGCAATCACTTCAAAGATGAGGTGGATCCATACTTAGAGACACAAGCAGATATCCACAAGTTCTCGTAAGTATTTGGAAATTGAGCAAAACACTTTGAAATAATCACTATGGTCAGAGAGGAAGTCATAAGTTAAATTAGAAAATATTTCAAACTGAAAGAAAGTGAAAATATACCATCAATCAAAAATCTGTGGATTCTAACTACTAGAACTGGCTAGAGCTAATGCAACTATAGCATTAAAGGTTTACATTAGAAAATAAGAAAGATTTATTTTTAAAGATTTTATGTATTTATTTGAGAGAGAGACAGAGTGAGAGAGGGCATGAGTGGGGGGAGGTGCAGAGGGAGAGGGAAAAGCTGACTCTCCAGTGAGCAGGAACCCGGACCAACTGTTGGGCCCAATCTCAGGGCTCGATCCCAGGACCTGAGCTGAAGGCAGCTGCTTAACTGACAGAGCCATCCAGGCGCCCCTCAAAATAGAAAAGACTTTTTTTTTTTTTTAAAGATTGTATTTATTTATTTTGAGAGAGAGTGAGCTTGCCAGGGGAGTAGGGGTGTGTATCCCCACATAGGGCTTGATCCCAGGATGCTGAGATCATGATCTAAGTTGAAGGCAGATGCTCAACTGAGCCATCCAAGCACCCCAAAAAAGATTTTAAATAAATAACCTAGGGCAGCCCCGGGTGGCTCAGCAGTTTAGTGCCGTCTTCAGCTCAGGGTGTGATCCCTGGAGACCTGGGAGTCCCACTTCGGGTTCCCTGCATAGAGCCTGCTTCTCCCTCTGCCTGTGTCTCTGCCACTCTCTCACTCTCTCTCATGAATAAATAAATAAAAAAAATAATCTAAAGTTCTACCTTAAACTATAAAATGAAACTATAAAAAGGATAATATACAGACACACCTTGTTTCACTGCGTTTCAAAGATACTGATGTGTTTCTCTGTTTTGTTTTACAAATTGAAGGTTTGTGGCAACCCTGAATTGAGCAAGTCTGTGGGCACCATTTTTCCAACAGCATTTGCTCATTTCCTGTCTCTTTATCACATTTTAGTAATTCTTGCAATATTTCAAATGTTTTAATTGTTACTCTATTTGTTATGCTGATCCATAATCAGTGATCTTTGATGCTGCTACTGTGATTGTTTTGTAGCACCATGAACTGCGCCCATAAAAGATGGTAAACTTTTTTTAAAAAACATTTTATTTATTTATTCATAGAGACACACACAGAGAGAGAGGCAGAGACACAGGCAGAGGGAGAAGCAGGCTCCTTGCAGGGAGCCTGATGTGGAACTCGATCCCGGGTCTCCAGGATCACACCCTGGGCTGGAGGCGGCGCTAGACCCGCTGAGCCACCAGAGCTGCCCCAAGATGGTAAATTTAATGGATAAAAATTGAGTGTGTTCTGACTGTTCCATCCACCAGCCATTTCCTTGTCTCTCTCCCTTTCCTACTAAGACACACAATACTGAAATTAAGCCAACTAATAACACTACGATGGCCTCTAAATGTTCAAGGGAAAGGAAGAATCATATATATCTCATTTTGAATCAAAAGCTAGAAATGATTAAGCCTGGTTAAAAAAAAAAAACAAGATAAGCTGTAAGTGAGACCTCTTGGGCCAGTTTGCTGCGTTGTGAATACAAAGAAGTTCTTGAAGGAAATGAAAAGAGCTGCTTCAGTGATCAAACAGACAATAAAGCAAAACAGCTTTATTACTGATATGGAGAAAGTCTGAATGGTCTGGAATGAAGATCAAACCAGCCACAACCTTCCCTTAAGCCAAAGCCCAATCCAGAACAAAGTCCTTCAACTCTATGCAGGCTGAGAGAGGTGAGGAAGCTACAGAAGAAGAGCTTGAAGCTAGCAGAGGTTGGTTCATGAGATTTACAGAAAGAAGCCATCTCCATAACATCAAAGTGCAACGTGGGACAGCAAGTGCTGATGTAGTAGCTGCACCAAGTTACCCAGAAGATCTAGCTAAGAGAATTCATGAAGGTGGCTATGCTAAACAACACATTTTCAATGTAGACAGAACCACTTTATTGGATGAAAATGCCATCTAGGACTTTCATACCTAAAGAGAAAAAGTCTATGTCCGCCTTGAAAACTTCAAAGGGGAAGCTGACTCTCTTGTTAGGTGCTAATGCAGCTGGTTGACTTTAAGCTGATGCCAATGTTTACTCACCATTCCAAAACTCCTAGGGCCCTTACAAATAATGCTAAACTTATTATGCTTGTGTTCTATAATTGGAACAATAAAGCTCGGATGCAGCCACATCTGTTTACAATATGATTTGATAAATATTAAGTCCCCTGTTCAGACAAAAAAAATTCCTTCGAAATTATTACTGCTCATTGACAACACGCCTAGTCATCCAAGGGCGCTGACTGAGATGTATAGAGAGTAACATTGTTTTTGTGCTTGCTAACACAACATCCATTCTGCAGTCTGTAGATCAAGGAATAACCTCGACTTTCAAGTCTTATTGTGAGAAATACATTTTGTGAGGCTACAGTTAGTATCACATAGATAGTGTTTTCTCGGATGGATCTGGGCAAAGTAAACTGAAAACCTTCTGGAAACGATTTGCCATTCTAGATGCCATTAGGAACATTTGTAAGTCACAGGAAGAGGTCCAAATATCAACAGTAACAGGAGTTTGGAAGAGGTGATTCCAACTCTCCTAGACTTAGAAGGGTTCAAGACTTCAGTCAGGAAAGTAACTACAGATGTGGTAGAAATAGTAAGAGAACTGGATTAAGAAGTGGAGCCTGGAGCAGCCCAGGTGGCTCAGTGGTCTAGCGCCGCCTTCAGCCCAGGGTGTGATCCTGGAGACCCAGGATCGAATCCCACATCAGGCTTCCGGCATGGAGCCTGTTTCTCCCTCTGCCTGTGTCTCTGCCTCTCTCTCTCTCTCTCTCTCTCTCTCTCTCTCTCTCAGTGTCTCTCATGAATAAACAAAATCTTAAAAAAAAAAAAGTGGAACCTGAAGATGTGAATAAACTGTTGCAATTTCACAATAAAACTTGAACAAATGAGATGTCATTTCCTATGTGTGTGCAAAGAAAGTAGTTTCTTGAGATACAGTCTACTCCTGGTGAAGATGCAGTGAAGATTGTTGAAATAACAACAAAATATTTAGAATATTATATAAACTTAGTTGATAAAGCAGTGACAGGGTTTAAAAGGACTGACTCCAATTTTGAATGTTCTGTGGCCAAAATGCTATCAAGGAGCATCACATGCTACAGAGAAATCATTCATGAAAGGAAGAGTCGGGCAGCCCCGGTGGCACAGCGGTTTAGCGCCGCCTGCAGCCCAGAGCGTGATCTGGAGACCCTGGATCGAGTCCCACCTCAGGCTCTCTGCATGGAGCCTGCTTCTCCCTCTGCCTGTGTCTCTGCCTCTCTCTCTCTCTCTCTCTCTGCATCTCTATGAATAAATAAATAAAATCTTAAAAAAAAAAAAAAAGAAAGGAAGAGTCAATGGATGCTGCAAACTTCATCGTTGTCTTATTTTAAGAAATTGCCCCCAAAAGGGATCCCTGGGTGGCGCAGCGGTTTGGCGCCTGCCTTTGGCCCAGGGCGCGATCCTGGAGACCCGGGATCGAATCCCACGTCAGGCTCCCGGTGCATGGAGCCTGCTTCTCCCTCTGCCTCTCTCTCTCTCTCTCTCTATCATAAAAAAAAAAAAAATAAATAAAAAAAAAAATAAATAAAAAAAAAAAAAAGAAATTGCCCCCAGGGATCCCTGGGTGGCGCAGCGGTTTGGCGCCTGCCTTTGGCCCAGGGCACGATCCTGGAGACCCGGGATCGAATCCCACATCGGGCTCCCGGTGCATGGAGCCTGCTTCTCCCTCTGCCTGTGTCTCTGCTTCTCTCTCTCTCTCTGTGACTATCATAAATAAATGAAAATTAAAAAAAAAAAAAAAAAAGAAATTGCCCCCCAAAAAAAGAAAGAAAAAAAAGAAATCGCCACAGCCACCCTAGTTTTCAACCACCACCCTGAACAGTCAGCAACCATCAGCATTGAGGCATGACATCCACCAGCAAAAAGATTATGATTCACTGAAAACTCAGATGATGGTTAGCATTTTTTAATAATAAAATACATGTATTTATTTAAAATTATCTATTTATTTGAGTGAGAGTGAGCACATACCAGCTGAGAGGGGCAGACGGAGAGAGAGAAAGAATGTGAAGCAGACTCAGTACTAGTATGGAGCCCCAAAAAGGGCCAGATCCCATGACCATGAGACCATGACCTGACTGAAATCAAGAGTTGGGGGCAGCCCTGGTGGCGCCGTGGTTTGATGCCACCTGCAGCCTGGGGTGTGATCCTGGAGACCTGGGATCGAGTCCCACATCGGGCTCCTTGCATGGAGCCTGCTTCTCCCTCTGCCTGTGTCTCTGCCTCTCTCTCTCTCTCTCTGTGTCTCTCATGAATAAATAAATAAAATCTTAAAAAAAAAAAGAGAGAAATCAAAAGTTGGGACACTTAACTGACTGAGCCACCTAGCGCCCCACAATAAAAACTTTTAAATTAAGGTATGTACATTATTTTTTTAGACACAGTGCTATCGCACACTTTAATAGACTACAGTATAGGTATGCACTGGGAAACCAAAAAACTCATCTGATTTGCTTTATGGTGATATTTGCTTTGTTGCAGCACTGTGGAACTGAACTCGTACCATCACTGAGGTATGTCTGGATCATGACCAAGCAGAATTTACCCAAAAAATATAAGGTTGGTTCAACATTAGAAAATCAATCAATACAGTTTACAGGCCAAGAAAGTAAAACAAATATGATAATCTCAGTAGAGGCAGAACAAACATTTGACAAACAAAAAATGGAAATTAGGTTGATAGAAATAAAGTTTCTTTAAAAAGAGCCTGGGTGGCTCAGTGGTTGAGCATCTGCCTTTGGCTCAGGACATGATCCTAGTCTAGGGACAGAGTCCCACATCGGACTCCCAGGAGGAAGCCTGCTTCTCCTGCCTCTCTCTATGTCTCTGTCTCTCTCTCTCTGTGTCTCTCATGAATAAATAAAATCTTAAAATAAATAAATAAAAAGAAAAAAAAACTTGACAACATCCAATATATATTTTTTTAAGATTTACTTATTTGAAAGAGAGAGGGACAGTGTGAGTGGGAGGGGAAGAGGAAGAAGGAGAGAGAGAGAGAGAAGCTTTTTATTTCTTTATTTTTTTTGAGAGAGAGAATCTTCAGCAGACTCCCTGCTGAGCACAGAACCTGATGCAGGGCTCAATCCCACCACCTGGAGACCATGACCTAAGCTGAAACCAAAAGTTGGATGCTTAACCAACTGAGCCACCTAGGCCCCCCATATAATTTGTCTTTTTTGTTGGTGAGCTGTAATAGTGTTTTATAAATTCTGGATACTAGACTCTTAATCAGATATAATTTGCAAATGCCTTTTCTCATTCTGTGGGTTATCTTTTCATTTTCTTGATAGTGTCTTTGAAGCATAAAAGTTCAAAAGATGGGGATGCTTGGGTGGCTCAGCAGTTGAGCGTCTGCCTTTGGCTTAGGGTGTGATCCCAGAGTTCAGGGATCGATTCCCACATTGGGCTCTCTGTGGGGAGCCTACTTCTACCTCTACCTGTGTCTCTGCCTTCTGTGTCTCAAGTAAATAAGTAAGTAAGTAAGTAAATAAATAAATAAAATCTTTAAAAAAATTAAAGTTGAAAAGTTGTTTTATTGTGGAAGTTTTAAGTTTTGAAGATGTCCAATTTACCTATTTTTTTTCTTTGGTTGCTTGTGCTTTTGATATATCTAAGAAGCCACTGCCTATTTCAAGGTTACAATATTTCGATCTGTTTTCTTCTAATAGTTTTATAAATTTTAGCTCTTATATTTAGGTCTTTGATCCATTTTTGAGTCAATTTTCATGTAAGTGTGAGGTAGGGACCTATGATTAATTTTTGTAATGTAACTGGAATAGTATTACAAGTGTGTAACATAAGCTCATACTTGTATTTCACAAAGCATACAATGAGGCTTAGTTAAGCAATAACTTACCTGTCCACTTCTTATAACAGAAGGAGGAATTGAGAAGAAGTACCCAGCTTTTACTCCTTCCATGGCTACAGATGGCCGACCATCAAATGCATGCAGAAGCACTTTGTCAGCACCTATTTAAAGAAAAAAATCTTTAAAAAAAAAGAAAAAAAACTTATACCATCAAACCTTTTCTAAAAGTTTATAAACTGTCAAATTATTGTTCCTACTAGGTTTTTAAGCAGTGAATTATCCTTAATAATAATGCTAGTGGGGCAGCCCCGGTGGCTCAGCGGTTTAGTGCCGCCTTCAGCCTAGGGAGTGATCCTGGAGACCCGGGATTGAGTCCCACGTCAGGCTCCCTGCGTGGAGCCTGTTTCTCCCTCTGCCTATGTCTCTGCCTCTCTCTCTCTGTGTCTCTCATGAATAAATAAATAAAATCTTAAAAAAAATAATAATGCTAGTGAAAGAAGAAACAGGATGCTCAATGACTCAGAGACTCAATAATCAGGGCTGGCTTCACAGTTACCTCCAGTTCTTACCGGATAGCTGCTCAGTAATCATAAAAATCATATTCTCAAGTAATTCCAGTGATTCTCATCACTGAGAAACACGCTGCTTTCTAGTTGCAATTACATTTACTTTACTATTTGATACTGTTTTTTTCAAATGGTAAGTGTGATCATTAATGGGTTACAGTCATAAATGAATTATGAAATCAATTTAGTGGGTCACTACCTACCAGCATATACTTACATGTATGTGTGTCTGCATATATGTATGTGCACATATTTATATATGCCTATCTGAACATACACATAGATAATACTGCTTCTCAAACTTGGTCAGATTTCTTTTTTTTTTTTTTAATTTTTATTTATTTATGATAGTCACAGAGAGAGAGAGAGAGAGAGAGAGAGAGGCAGAGACATAGGCAGAGGGAGAAGCAGGCTCCATGCACCGGGAGCCCGATGTGGGATTCGATCCCGGGTCTCCAGGATCGTGCCCTGGGCCAAAGGCAGGCGCCAAACCGCTGTGCCACCCAGGGATCCCTTGGTCAGATTTCTGTATGTATATATACTAAGTCTCAAAATAACCTCTTAGTACCAAAAACAATACATATGTGTATATATTGCAACTCAAAGTATATTTCTTACTGTGGACGACACTTTAAAAAGTCTGAAAAGTAATAAGATAGGTTTTTACTTTAGAGCAACTGATCAAGATGACTATATTTTAGGTATGATGGCCACAACTTGCATAATAACATTTTCTGAAGCAGCAGCCAGAAAACATGCAAGACAGTAAGTAACCCATCTCTGGTTTGTTTTTTCCTCCCATTAATCAGGTGGTTAAGCTGATTAAAAAATTGGAGCTGTTGGGACACCTGGGTGACTCAGAGGGTTAGCATCTGCCTTCAGCCCACAGCGTGATCCTGGAGTCCTGAGATCGAGTCCCACATCTGGTTCTCTGCATGAAGCCTGCTTGTCTCTCTGCTTGTGTCTCTGCCTCTCTCTCTGTGTCCCTCATGAATAAATAAAATCTTAAAAAAATAAAAATAAATTGACAGCTCCGATTTTTTTTAAAGATTTTATTTATTTATTCATGAGAGAGACATACAGAGAGGCAGAGACACAGGCAGAGGGAGGAGAAGCAGGCTCCATGCAGGAGCCCAACGCAGGACTCCATCCTGTAACTCTGGGATCACACCCCGAGCAACCAGGTGTCCCTATTTTTTTATTTTTATTTAATTTTTTAAAAATGAGTTTTGTTTTGTTTTTAGATTTTGTTTATTTATTCATGAAAGATACACAGAGAGAAAGGCAGAGACATAGGCAGAGGGAGATGCAGGTTCCATGCAGGAAGCCAATGTGGGACTCGATCCCTGAACTCCAGGATCACACCATGAGTGGAAGGTAGAAGTGCTTAAGTGCTGAGCCACCCAGGCGCCCGGAGCTGTTGATTTTTAAATTAAGGAATACAAATTATTTGATCCAATTTTTCATTTGCTTTATGCTGGCCTTCTAAATATCATCAAAACACTTGAAAGTAGGCTGACTTACAAAATCACCTTAGTTGATTTACACCTCCACCCTTGCCCCACTCCCTTCCCTTTGAGAAATCGAAATGAAACATGGTTTATTCTATGAGAAAATGGAATGGAACCATCAAACTTAAATATTAGGCCCATTCTTTTCAGAACCTAAATACCTTGCTCATTTAAGAGGCTGATGGTGGGTCTTCCAGCAGAGCGTGAGTGAACATTTCTGTTTAACAACAAAAAAATTCCTTTTAGATTCTTAATCTGAAAGCATTATTTCTGTTCTACTAAAGTAATTCAGAGAAAAAGAAATGCAGAGCTCCATATTAGGAGAACCATTAATTTGTTCTATAGCTATTAATATAAAAAGAAGATTGATAATTAACCTACAAAGGCAAATTTAATCTCTTGGCTAACTGGACCTGTTGGATTAGGACTTGTCGTTGCTCTTCCTTCTGCTCATCAGTGCCAGCAAATCTGGGGGAGAAATCTAGTCCCACCTGTAGTAGAAAAATATAACAGATTTACATGTTTATGGCTCAATAAATTCAAAAGACATACTATGGAGCAGTGCTGTCCTAGAGAAATATGATAGGAGCCATACATGCATGCCACATATATAACTTTATATTTTCTAGTAGCCACATTAAAAACACTAATAAGAATCAGGTGAAATTAATTTTAATGATGTATTTTATTTAATCCATACATCCAAATCATCATTATTATTATATAGTAATATTATTTCAACACAAAATCAATATAAAAATGATTGCATTATTTATTTTCTCTTTTTTTTTATTTTCTCTTTTTTTTGGGTACTAAGACTTTGAAATCCTGTGTGTTTTATATTTATAGCATATCTCATTTTGGACCAGTCACATTTCAAGTGCTGAACAGCTGTATGTGGTTACTACATTGGACAGTGAAGATTATAAATGACTGTTTTCTTTGATACTATTTTGGCAGATATTGCTATAGTCTATATTCTAAATTTAAGTGTTGTATTTGATTAAAAGTGGAGTTTATTATAAGTGATAAAAATGTTTCACAACTGTATATTAAATAAAAAATGTTTATTATAAATTCTAGCCTATTTTTTTTTAAAAATATTTAATTTATTTATTAGGTAAGCATTATGTCCAGTGTGGGGTTGCAACTTAGAACCCTGAGATCAAGAGTCACATGCTCCACCAACTAAGCCAGCCAGGCGCCCCAACAAATTCTAGCCTATTTTTTTTTTTTTTTTAAAGATTTTATTTACTTAACGTGAGAAACAGAGAGAGAGAGAGAGAGGCAGAGACACGGGCAGAGGGAGAAGCAGGCTCCATGCATGGAGCCTGACGTGGGACTCGATTCTGGGTCCCCAGGATCACGCCCTGGGCTGAAGGCGGTGCTAAACTGCTGAGCCACTCAGGCTGCCCATGCCTACTTAGTGTATGTTTGTACATACTATGTTAACCAACTACAGAGATGACTCTATTTAAGAAAAGGAAAAAAAAAAGAACAAAGTACACAGAAATGCTAATAAAGTAGTTTTCTTCCATTAACATAAGTCTATGGTGGGGCTTTCTATTTTTTGTCTCCAAGTGCTTTTGCTTATTGAGGAAATACTGACAAATTATTATCCAGCTAAATGAGGTGAATATAATTATCTAAGTCAGTTATAATCACCAAGAGTGAACTGAAGATTATATTTATATATCATATGAAAGTCTAGATTAGAAGTCATTTGATCAGCTATTTGATGTTACCTCTCCAATTGCCAACAATTGATCCTTATAATTCTCCATAATGGGCAAAGCTACATCCAAATCCTGGGAGAAAAAAAAAGTAAATTTGTTTAAACAGAAGGGTAAGGGAACTGATACTATAGATAACACTTTTATATGCCAGGCCTTATACTATACTGGATCCTTTACGTACATTCAATACCTTTAACCAGCTGAAGAAGTAGTGATAGTCATCCTTCTGTAACAGTGAGTCCTATTTGGAAATTTGAGTAGAAACATCTCATATGGACCCCTGGGGGGCTCAGTGGTTGAGTGTCTGCCTTCGGCTCAGGGTGTGATTCCAGGTCTGGGGATCAAGTCCTGCACTGGGCTCCCTGTGAGGAGCCTGCTTCTCCCTCTTGCCTATGTTTCTGTCTCTCTCTCTGTGTGTCTCTCATGAATAAATAAAATCTTCAAAAAAAAAAAAAAAAAGAGAAGTCCCACTTAAACACTACCTAATATTTAGGAGGAATTTCCTAACATGTAGGACTGATTTGGATTTCCTCCTGGAATAGGTGACCAAGAGAAAAGAAAGCCAACAGGTAGTCACCTTTGTAACTCAGCTTTCTGGGAGTGCACTGTGTTATGTCCTCCTCTTAGGATGCTAATGGTTTTTAAGTTTTTTAATAGCCATAATCTCATACATCCTCTTCACTATTTTCACTGATTTCTTTTGTCTTTATAATCCTGCTTAGCCTATTTTTGTCCTAACAATTCAAGAGTATAAACATTAATTATCACAAATATGCTTGTTTGTCAACTATTGAAGTAACTACCATTAGTTTCAGTAACTACCATGATATTACTATTTCCACTTAAAGAGAATTCACTTTGTGAGGGTTCCCTTGTAAGATAAGGCAAAGACAAATATATGGAAAGTTTGCTGCTAGGTATCTTTTAAACTACTTTGAGGGTTTTAGTCTTAGGATATGTAAATTGCTAAGAATGTCTACTGCGGATAATCAGAACAAAGAAGAATTAAGAAAAAGGAAGTAAAACAGAAGCAGCAGGAGATTTTATAATTATGCTTCTGGACACAGAAAAACCAACATCCACAATCCCTATCACATTATCTTTCGTCTTTAAAGCACTGAGTACTCTCTAAAGTTTACCTGTTCCTGTAACTAATTGTTGATTGTCTGTCTGCCCCCAACTAGAATCTAGCTTCCATGGGAGGGATTTCCCTCTATAGTGCTTAGAGCAGTGCTTAGAATTCAGTAGGCGCTCATTAAACACTTGCTGGCTGACTATTCATTCATGAGAGACACAGAGAGGCAGAGACACAGGCAGAGGGAGAAGCAGGCTCCATGCAGGGAACCCGACGTGGGACTCGATTCCAGGTCTCCAGGATCACACCCTGAGCCAAAGGCAGATGCTAAACCTCTGAGGCGCCCAGGGATCCCCTTGCTGACTAACTAAATGAATGCCTATTCATATAAATCTCTATATAAATGAAAGAAATGCTGTCTTGCTATGATCCCCAACATTTTGAGAACCATATCTCTCCGGCAATTTAGCTAATTTTATCATATTAGGAGAATAATTCAGGAAAACTATCAGGACAAATATTTATTTTTACCTGAAGTGAATTAAAAGCACTTTTGTTTCAAAATAGAGCTACCTGGAGTATTCTAATGTATGAATACAGATTCATTTTTATAAAATATGAAAGATCTTGTATTTTAATTTATTCATAGGCAACAAAAAGTCTTCACTTCTTCCAAATGGGGGTTGGCTATCAATCCCATTTTGTAATAAAGTCTTAAGAAACTGTATCTTCCTGATTCTGAGTCAGGAGGCAAGTCTGAAATATGAGTCATATTGGCTATTATGACTCAGTGAGATCTTATAGGTAGGATTTTTTTTTTCAGAGCCGGTATTAAAGCAGTGCAGTTTAACAGATCAAGAGCATTCCTTTAGAGAGGGTTTAACGTTCAAGAAGATACTGTGTACTTGAACTCATCTGTCCCCTTAGGGTACTACGTCTATACATTTGTATCTTCCTTTTTCTAGATATTTTATCACTTTTTTTTGCCAAAGCAGTATGACAACATGGTAAAAAAAAAATGTGAAAACAAGTGACTCATAATTCTACTTGATCATTACAGCTAATGTTATTTCTTTTTTTTTTAAGGTTTTATTTATTTATTTGAGAGAGAGAGAGAGAGAGAGAGCGCGCACAAGAGAGCATGAGCTGAGGGAGAAGTAGAGGCAGAAGCAGACTACCCGTTGAGCAAGGAGCCCAATGCAGGGCTTGATCCCAGGACCCTGGGATCATGACCTGAGCCACAGGCAGATGCTTAACTGACTGAACCAACCAGGCAACCCAGCTAATGTAATTTCTGTCTTTTTCTCTCTAGTCCTTTCCTCATTGAATATATTTTTACACGGATGTTACAACTAGGGAGTAAACAATTTGGCATCCTGCTTTTCTCTCTGTATTACACTATAAACATTTTCCTCATTGCTACATAAAATAAACCTTATAGTTCTCATTTTCCATACATGTATTCAGTGCATACATATATTTAACACTCTACAAGTTAATTTTTTCCTTTATTTCCGAGCCTTGAGGCTATTTCTGTTTTTTCTCTACTACAAATAATGCTGCAACAAACACCTTTGTGAAAGGTAGTATTTCCTTCTTCTGGATTATTGTCTTAAAATATAATCAGAAAGAGGAGCATTACTGAGTCAAAAGGTATCACTTTTTTTTTTTTAATTTTTATTTATTTATGATAGTCACAGAGAGAGAGAGAGGCAGAGACACAGGCAGAGGGAGAAGCAGGCTCCATGCACCGGGAGCCCGACGTGGGATTCGATCCGGGGTCTCCAGGATCGCGCCCTGGGCCAAAGGCAGGCGCCAAACCGCTGCGCCACCCAGGGATCCCAAAAGGTATCACTTTTTTAATGATTTTTGTTTTATACAACTTTTACCTTTAATGTGACACTTCTTTGGTCTCCTGGTGAAACTCCTTGAACAGGATGAACACCCAAGCATGGCAGGACAAAGCCCTTATACCTAAAAATGTACAACACATTAAGAAAGCAGGAATATTAAAGTACTAGACAATGTTACACTAAAGAACAAACATGAAAGAATTTTTTAGGGCTATGTTGATGTGATTTTCTTTAAAAATGGATGATCTTTGATAGTATAAATATGACCTACTAACTGCAACCTTATTAGCAACTCTTTAAATTCTTGATGAGAAGTAGCACCTTTCTGAAAGCTGCATAATCTTTTCAAATTCTCCTGAATGTTCAGCAACCATCACAAGAGCCATAACATTGGCCTGAAACAAAAATGAACAGAACAGTTAGAATCTCAAACAATCTACATCTAACATAACTGAAGAGAAATTTAAAGTCTTCTGTACTTTAAGTTATTCTTGCTCACTTATACTCCATCAATATAATCATGATGCCTTTCACTGAGTACTTATTATGATTCAGGCACTATGTTCAGTGAATATAAATACTACCTCATTACCTCAATCTACACAAACCCTATGAGGTAGGCATTGCTGTACTTCATCATATAGGTCGGGAAAGAGTTTTGGATGGAGTCAAATAACTTTCTCAAGATCATTATGCCTGTGTAATTCCAGAGCCCATGCTCCTAATTAAAGCTGCCATATTGAATGATGGCTGTGCATGTAATAACGTATTGGCAACCATTTCTATCACTTTAAGGGAAGGCTACAAAATAATAGTTAAATAAAAATTAGTAACTTTTTTTCTGAAACAAATCAAAACGTCTTAGAAAACTTGTAATTTCTCCAAGATCGCTGGAATAATGCTCCTTTAGGAACTGACAGATAGATCAATCTGTTCCATGTAACTGGTAAGCACACTAGCTGTGAGGACATGTTTTGGATTCAGACTATCTTGTCCGTATCATTTTACTAGCAGTGTATCTTCAGGTAAGTAAATCTCTAGGCCTGAATTTCCTTCTCTATCAAATGGGTAATGGTTGGCTATAAAATAGTAGCTTCTTCATACGGATGCTGCCAAACATTAAATGAGATAACGAACAGATAGGGCTTAGCTCAGCCTGGCATATACTATACAGTTAATTAATGCTACTTATTATTAACAAAGCAAGATAAGCATAGTGTATCTAAATTTCAAGCTGTTCTACCTTGAAACTGAGGGCAACTATAGATATTGACTTACTTTCTTGGCTTTCTCCAACACATCATCCAGATCCTAAAATGAGCATAAGTAATGACAATTATTTTAGATGAATAAGTAACTGCTCTTTGGAAGTGTCTATCAACGTAGTCAAGGAGCCATAAAGAATGACAACAATGGCAAGGAACAGTGTGATAGAATGTGAAGACCTACACTGACTCGCTTTGCTTACTCTTCCTTTCTCTCACTAAAATCTGGCTTCTCTTCCTACTCCACTAAAACAGAAACTGTTATTGTAAATTATATAAAGGACATTTCTCTGTCCTCCTCTTACTCTATCCATCAGGAGCAGCATTAAGAAGTCCTCACCCGTTCACTCCTTTCCTGAAATACTTCCCACTCTTGGCTTCTGCAATACCCCTCTCCTGCAAACACCACCCTCCACTGGCTGCTAATTCCAGTCTCCTTAGCTGGCTCTCTCCTCCATCAGATTTCAGGACCCTATGCTCCTCTCTCCCTACACACCCCAGGTGATCTCATCCACAGGTTTTAATACCATCATTATGCTAATGAGTCCCCAGTTTTGATCTCCAGCCTAGAATTCTCTCCTAAGCCCAAGACTGACCTTTAAAAATGAATACAGGGCATTTCCACTTGGATGGATATTAGGCTTAAACGTGTACCAAACACAGCTGTCTCTACAAACCTATTCCTTTTATCTGCCCTCCCAGTCTCAATCTTCCCTCCTCTCAGTAAACAGCACCACCATCCTCCCTACAGCATGATGTCCTTTTTTTCCTTCCCTCTCCACATCCAATTTCTTACCCCATACCATTGAGTCTATCTCTAAAACACACACTGAGGGCAGCCTGGGTGGCTCAGCGGTTTAGCGCCGCCTTTGGCCTAGGGCGTGATCCTGGAGACCTGGGATCGAGTCCCATGTCAGGCTCCATGCAGGGAGCCTCTCCCACTGCTTGTGTCTCTGCCCCCCCCATGAATAAATAAATAAAATATTTTAAAAAAACACACACACACTGAATCCATCGGCTTTTCTCAAACTCCCCTGCAACCACCATCACCTCCTGTCTACATACAGCAAAAGCCTCCAAATTGGTTTTCTAAGGTCTACATTTGCTCTCCAACAGCAAAATGGCTTTTTTTAAAAAAGATTTTATTTATTTATTCATGAGAGAGAACAGAGAGAGAGAGAGAGAGAGAGAGAGAGGCAGAGGGAGAAGCAGGCTCCCTGCAGGGAACCTGCTGCAGGACTGGATTCCAGGACCCTGGGACCATGCCCTGAGCAGAAGGCAGACACTCAACCACTGACTGGGCCACCTAAGGGTCCCAGCAAAATGTTTTTTTTTTTTTTTTTAAGATTTTATTTATTTATTCATGAGAGACACAGAGAGAGAGGCAGAGTCACAGGCAGAGGGAGAAACAGGCTCCATGCAGGGAGCCGGATGCCGGACTTGATCCCGGGTCTCCAGGATCACGCCCTGGACCCAAGGCAGATGCTCAGTCACTGAGCCACCCAGGTGTCCCGCAAAATGGTTTTTAAGCAGAAATCATATCTTGTCGCTCTCCCTTAAGCAAACAAACAGAAAAAAAAACCCTTTACTGGATTCACACTGTCCTTACCTCCCTCACCTATCCCGTGCAAACCTCTAGTCCATGGCTCCCTCTCCAGCTCATCAGGCTCCAGCTAGCCTTTCTGGACCTAGAATGAGCCAAATCCCAGGCTGTCTGGAGTCTGCAAGACACCCACCATCTCGCCCGGCTGGCCCTTCGCCCTTCCAGTTCCAGCTTCGAGGCATACGTCACCGCTGGAGAGGTTTTCCCCCTTGAGAGACTCTGCTCTTCATTGTCTAATACCAGCTCCCGGGTTTCCAGGGCAGCGCGTAAAGCCCTTAGTTTTAAGTCTGATTTTGCGTGTCCTCCTCCGCCTGCTTCTGTCCCCCACGAGGCCCGGAGCGCGCGGTGCGCGGCTAAAGCGCCCGAAAGCACACTTTTCCCGGGAAAAGTGGATGCTCGGCCAGGCCAGGCACCGAGAGGCCGGTGGGGGGTGGGGAAACCCTCTCGGAAACGGGGAGGCCAAATAACGGGCTTCGCTCTTCAGGATCGGAAGGGAACATCGGGACGACCGAGGTCGAGTAGGGAAGTTAGGAGCAAGTCACTCAGGGCCACGAGCTGGGGCCTGGGAGGATGCGAGGCTTGGTGGTCCGAAGGGTAGAGAGAAAAAAATAACCTGGAGGGAAAGGACTGGGGGCCTCCCCGCTCCCGCAGGCCGGGCCTCGCCCTTACATACGCTGTCAAAGTCCGGGGCCGAGAGGTGGCAGTGACAGTCCACCGCCCCCATGGCCGCAGCCACCGCCGCGCTCCACTCTCTCGGGAGCCTCAGCCGGAACGCCGCGGCTGCGGCGGCTCGCGTTTCCGGCCGGACGCGTGTTTCCTCCCCCCCTTCCCCCCACCCGGAGCCCGCCCTTCCGCTCCCAGAGTTCCCGCCCGCGGTTCAAACTGGAAAGATGGCGGGGGCTCCAGTGTCGGGGGTCCCTTCCCGTCCGCGGGACGTGGAGAGAGAGGCGCGGCCGGACGACGGGGCGTCGGTCGCCGCCAGCTCCCGGGAGGACTGCCGGGTGCGCTGCACGTCGAAGCGGGCCGTGACGGAAATGGTAGAACTGTGCGGCCGCTTCGTGGACAAGCTCGGGGACGCGCTGCCGGAGGAGATTCGGGGGCCTGCGCTGCGGGACGTGCAGTGGGTACGGGCGCGTAGCCGTCTCCGGCCTCGTCACCCCCGTCCCCCTGCGCCCGGCTCTGGGCTCACGGAGGCGGCCCGAGAAACGCGGGGTGGTGGTGGGGGAGGCGGAATAGCTGCCGCGGCGTCATCCGGGTCTTAGGAACGGCTCGGACCCGCGCCGGCCGGTGGGAACGTCGAGGGGCGAGCTGAGCCTGTAACCGGAAATTACGGGAAGGGAAAAAAAAATAGGTGCAATTAATGTCATGCTTTATGGAGCCCGCTCTGTCCAAGATGCCGTTTTAATTTGTGATGATAAAAAAAGAAAAAAACACGAACGCGGTCTCCTATGGTTCTTCTGTTCGTGCTAAGCTGCTCGAACCCAGAACCCATCTCCCTTGGGGCTGCCTTTTAAGACCTCGGGAACCTCAGAAAGTGGCTGGCTAGTGGCCCCCCCTACTGGGCAGGGCAGACGCAGACTCTAGCAGGAATTTTCCGGGAAAGGGTAATAATAATAATAATAATAATAATAATAATAATAATAATCCTGGAAGTCAGCCGGGCACCGCGCTAGCGGTTCGGTCTTTCCTTTTTCCCTGTTTTAGGACTTCCTGTAAAGTCCGTGGAGGGGATCCCTGGGTGGTGCAGCGGTTTGGCGCCTGCCTTTGGCCCAGGGCCCGATCCTGGAGACCCGGGATCGAATCCCACATCGGGCTCCTGGTGCATGGAGCCTGCTTCTCCCTCTGCCTGTGTCTCTGCCTCTCTTTCTCTCTCTCTCTGTGACTATCATAAATAAATAAAAATTTAAAAAAATTAAAAAAAAATAAAGTCCGTGGAAACATTTTCCCTACAAGTCTAAAGTGGGTAAGGATGCTGTCTCGGTCAGTAACTTCACCGGCCCTCATAACCTTTTCCCCCTTCCTTACTCACATCTTTTGCAAAGCTCTGAAGAAGCTAGGGTTTGTTTTGTTTTTGTTTTTTTAAGATTTTATTTACTCATTCATGGGAGACACACACAGAGAGAGAGGAACAGACACAGGCAGAGGGAGAAGCAGGCTCCATGCAGGGAGCCCGATGTGGGACTCGATCCCGGGTCTCCAGGATCAGGCCCTGTGCAGGTGCCAAACCGCTGAGCCATCCAGGGATCCCCTCTTTTTTTTTTTTTTTTTTTTTTGAGGAAAGACACAACATATTATTGAAGCATTGGTACCTGCCTTAAGGAAGCACACAATCTATGTGTAGGAAGAAAAAGTTTAAAAGCTCATAACGCAGCAGCACGCTTGCGAGTGGGAATGACCGCAGGGCAAACAATAAAAATAAATGTCAAATGGAAGAAGAATAAAGAAACAGCCCCTGGGTAGCGATTCTGTGTTCCCGTTTTGGATACAGTAAGGCTGTTCCTGCCTTCGTGCAAGGAAAGGAAGAATAGAGACATACCTCAGGACATTTTTAGTAGTTCTTGGGGGAAAAGACTTTTTTTTGCGTAAAGGATTTTAGTATTTCCCTCTTTCTGGGCAGCCCAGGTGGCGCAGTGGTTTGGCGCCGCCTTCTGCCCAGGGCCTGATCTTGGAGACCCAGGATCCAGTCCCTCATCGGGCTTCCTGCGTGGTGCCTGCTTCTCTCTCTGCCTGTGTCTCTATGAATAAATAAATAAAATCTTAAAAAAAAAATCTGTCTAGTATTTCCCCCTTTCTAGGAAGTACTGACCTACTTAGAACATTACAGAAAAAGAGGAGCTTGGCTTAACCTGTTATACCTTATCTAATGAATGATAAAGTGAATTAGAAGATAAAGGTTTGAAGGCTTAAACTACCAGGGAATTCATTTGTGTTTTATATTAAGAGCAGATAAAAGGCAGAGGCTTTAATTAGGTTAAAGCCTAATTTATGTCTCTTAATCTGAAACCGCATAATATGATAATGGATATTCTTAAAAAGTGGTATTGATGTGATTGTGTAATGAATATTATTACACTTTGTATTCTGAGATAATCCGTAAATGTCCTTATATAAAGTAAGGATTTTATTTTATAAAATCTTTATAGAGTGCATAACTTAACTCATGATTATCATTCATGATTTGATTTATGCTCTTTACTTCTACAAAGCTTATAAAGTACATATTGTAAAAAAAAAAAACAACATAAAGCAAAAGTCTGAATTCCTCTCCCCCCCATCCCTCTTCCTTTTGGAAATAACTTACTGTTTTGGAAGGCCCATGGAGGGTGTATATATATATCTATATATATATATATTTTTTTTAAAGATTTTATTTTATTTATTCATGAGAGACAGCCTGATGTGGGACTTGATTCCCAGACCTGGGACTTGGTTCTGGGACCCAGGATCATGCCCTGAGCAGAAGGTAGAAAAGCTCAACTGCTGAGCCACCTGGTATCCCTTATATATTCTTTTTTATGGCTTTTTTGTTGTTTTAGTTTTTTGTTTATTTTTTGCGTTAAGAGTGTTAAAATGATTTAGCAATTAACCCCCCCCCCCAAATCTGTCGATTATTATTTGTCCTTTTTTTTTTTTTAAAGATTATTTATTGGGCAGCCCCGGTGGCACAGCGGTTTAGTGCCGCCTGCAGCCCGGGGCATGATCCTGGAGACCCTGGATCGAGTCCCATGTCAGGCTCTCTGCATGGAGCCTGCTTCTCCCTCTGCCTGTGTCTCTGCCTCTCTCTCTCTCTCTCTCTCTCCATCTCTATGAATAAAAAAAAATGAAAAAAAAAAGGAAATCTTCAAAAAAATTATTTATTTATTTATTTGTTTATTTATTTATTTATTTATTTATTTATTTATTTATTTATTTATGAGAGACACAGAGGAGAGAGAAAGAGGTGGAGACACAGGCAGAGGGAGAAACAGGCTCCATGCACGGAGCCCGACATGGGACTCGATCCTGGGACTCCAGGATCAGGCCCTGGACTGAAGGCAGACGCTTTAACTGCTCAGCCACCCAAGGATCCCAGTTTTTGTTTTTTTTTTTTTTAAGATTTTATTTATTCATGAGAGACAGAGAGAGAGAGGCAGAGACATAGGCAGAGGGAGAAGCAGAGGGAAAAGCAGGCTCCTCGCAGGGAGCCCAGTGTGGGACACAATCCTGGACCCCGGGATCATGACCTGAGCCAAAGGCAGATGCTCAAGTGCTGAACCAGCCAGACATCCCATCCTTTTTATGTTTTTATGAAAATGGTTCTTGAGGATGCATTGCTAGAAGTGTAATTGTTGTGCAATAGGTTTTAAATTTTAAATGTATATTTAAAATTTTAATGGTACTAGCAATTCCTTTAGTTCTTATTTTTTAATGTATTAAAAATTGACTAGTACAGTGGACACCCATGTATCTATCACCAAATTTAACAGTTATCAAAAATGTTACATTTCCTATTTTATTATTTTTTTTAAGGTGGGCTCCATGCCTAAGATGGATCTTGAATTCATAACCTTGAGACCAAGAGTTGCATGCTCTACTAAGTAGCCAGGTGTCCCTTTATGCTATTTTATTTTTTTGAAGATTTTATTTATTTATTCATGAGAGACACACAAAGAGAGAGGCAGAGACACAGGCAGAGGGAGAAGCAGGCTCCATGCAGGGAGCCCGATGTGGGACTTGATCCCGGGTCTCCAGGATCACGCCCTGGGCTGAAGGCGGTGCTAAACCACTGAGCCGCTGGGGCTTCCCTACACTTTCTATTTTAAAACAAACTCCTGGTCTCATGCCATTTCTTTTCTATCTACCTCAGTGAACATCTCTAAAAAAATACAATCCTTTATGCAGTAGAAATTAATTTTACTTTGTTTTAAGCATTTTTCCCTTTAACACTGATGCTCTTTCAGCAGCCTGTGTAGTACTTGTACCCTTCAGATTCAGCTGAGCTCAACTTTGTTAGCTTGTATTTTTTTTTCTTTTTAAGAAGTATATAAATTTTGCATCAAATTTTCTCATAGGTAGCATAATGGTTATCAAAGCTAATATGTAGGTTGAGTCAGTAATTGAAATGGAATCTTCATTGAGAAGAATAGACTTATAAGCTAGTTTAGTTTACTTTTCTTAATATTCTCTGTTACAAATTTGAAGTTCTTATTTTGCCAAAATGTTTTAATTCAATCTTTAAAGTTATTTTTAGTGACTTGAGTATTATGAATTTATTTCAGACTTTTGAATCAGCTGTGCAAGAGAATGTCAGCATTAATGGGCAAGCATGGCAGGAAGCTTCAGATAATTTAATAGGTATGTTATTTAACTTTTTCCTTTCATTAATTTCGGAGTTATTTTTGTGGCTAATTTTATTTTAAATGCTAATTTTTTAGAATTTATTTTTTTGCTTTTTTAAAGATTTTATTTATTTGAGAGAGAGAGTGAGTGGGGGGGGGGGCAGAAGCAGACTCCCAGCTGAGCAGGGAGCCCAAAGCAGGGCTCTATCCTGGGACTCCAGTGTCATGACTTGAGCCAAAGGCAGGTGCTTAACGGACTGAGCCACCTGGGCATCCCTTGAGTGCTAATTTTTAATCCCCATCTTCAGTGTCCCTTCTGTTAAAATTTTTCTTTCTTTGGGGGGAAAAAGGAAACAAATCTAGAAGACTATTGAAGTCATAATCTGAGGCAAACTACACAGTAGGTACCTTGATTTTTTTATATGTGCTGTCTGGCATTCTCAACAAGACTTTGATCTGATTGATCTTTGAAAGTACCCTTGTCAGTAGGTTACTGGAAAATACTGTACAGCTGTCTCCTGATGAAGAAATAGGCCCAGAGTATTTCTATGATTAATACCTTATAAGTCAAATTATAGTTTTACAAGTGATCCTTAGAGTAGATAGTGAAGTACCCTTAGAGGTATGAAGTTAAATGCTAAGAGTACCATGTAAAGGATGAGGTAAATATATAGAGAAACCTTAAAATCAAAGCATACTTGATTATATCCTAATATGTTGACATATCTAAATAAATCAAAGTTTTGTTTTAAAGATTTTATTTATTCATGAGAAAGAAAGAGAGGTAGAGACAAATAGGGAGAAGCAGGCTCCCTTTAGGGAGCCCAATGTGGGACTGGATCCTGGACCCTGGGATTACGCCCTGAGCCCAAAGCAGACGTTCAACTGCTGAGCCACCCAGGCATCCCAGAAATCAAAGTTTTAATGGAAAGAAAATAGTCAGTGGTCAGTATAAGAAGGAAAAAAGTTAGGAAAAAAAGAATGATCTGTGTGAGAAGGGGCAGAAGTCCCCAGCAAAGTCTAGGGGAGGGCTACCCTGACAAGGAGTCAGTGTCTTATCTTTACCCGTAGTGATATTACAGTCTGACCAGCAGACCTTTGTGTCCCAGCTTGATATTACCTGCTATCCAGTTATACCTTGAGCCGATTCCAAGCACATCAAGTAACCCTCTGTGGTTATGATTTTTCTTCTCAACATTAAGATAATACTTTGCCCAGAAAACTTCACTGTCTAATCCTTGGGATTATTATAGTTATCTCTTCAAAGTCACCAAAATTTACATTCTGATTTATATATTGAAACGGTAAAAGCAATAACATTAATTTCCCAAACATCAGAATGATTGCCAATTTGCAAGAGAGGGGGAGTTTATCACAAGAGTATTTTTACTACACAGCCTTTCCTGTGTCTTTATTTGACTCTTGTTCTGTGAAGTCACTTTGGAATTACTTTATTGTTTGCTCCAGGCTGCCTTTAGCAATATGATTCATCAATTTATAGATTAAGATATGTGTGTTCTAATAGGTTGGCAGCCTGGGTGGAATATGGTTAGTCTTTGTCCATTTTTCTCCTTATAACTGTGAGGGGAAATAGTTGAGAATACTAAAATTTTACCTTCCTTCACAGGCACTTGATAATGCCAGGCACTATACCAAGTTTTAGGACATAGATGAAAACACATGGTCCTTACTATTTAGGAACTCATTGTTAATGGAAGTAAATGAACAAGGAATTACTACTGTTTGGAGAAGGGGAGAAGACCAAACAGAGTAGATTGTAGTTAAATGCATTTCATAAATGGTAGCATGCTAGATAAAAAGGAGGAAGGAGGGATTCCTGGGTGGCTCAGTGGTTTGGCACCTGCCTTTGGCCCAGGGCGCGATTCTGGAGTCCTGGGATCAAGTCCCACGTCAGGCTCCCGGCATGGAGCCTGCTTCTCCCTCCTCCTGTGTCTCTGCCTCTCTCTCTCTCTCTCTCTCTCTCTCTCACTGTCTATCATAAGTAAATAAATAAATCTTTAAAAAAAATGCCAAAAAAAAAAAAAAAAGGAGGAAGGACATTCGAAGCAGAGAGAAGAGCAGGTGCAAATGCACAAAAGAATGATATATTTGGAAAATGTCAGAACTGAATTGGGAAAACTAATGGTAGGTGTGGCCAGAGATAAGTTGGGGCCAGATTACAAAGAGCCTGAGAGTTTGCTAAGGAATTTGCACTTTATCCTTTTGGCAATGGGGAACCAGTGGTAATTTTTTTTTAAAGATTATATTTATTTATTCATGAGAGACACAGAGAGAGAGAAGCAGAAACACAGGCAGAGGGAGAAGCAGGCTCCATGCAGGGAGCCTAATGTGGCACTCGATCCTGGACCCCGGGATCACGCCATGAGCCAAAGGCAGATGCCCAACTGCTGAGCCACCCAGGCATCCCACCAGTGGTAATTTCTAAAGTAGAATTTATATGAGAAGCTTTGTGTTTTAGAAAGTTCACTGCTGGCTGTGTTAGGGGATGGATTGGAGAGGGGAGAAATTCAAGGCAGGCTCATCTTAGGGAAGTTACCGTGATAGTACAGTAAGAGATGGTAAAGACCTGCCCTAAGACAATAGGAAAGAGAAAACGTTTCAGTAGATAGGATTAAAAGGGTTTGTATCTCATCTAATGCATAGAAGCAACAAGTAATCTTCACAAGGGTAGAGGTTGTCTGTTTTGTTCACTGGGATCATTGTAGAAATGAGTGAAAACATGATAGAATGAATATACAAGTGAAAACAACTTTTTCCCTTCCTCTGTAACTACTCTGAAGGGACTTGATTTCAGGCTTGACCAGGTACATTTAAGAATCAAAGTGTAGGGCAGCCCAGGTGGCTTGGCAGTTTAGCACCACCTTCGGCCCAGCGTATGATCCTGAAGACTTGGGATCAGGTCCCACATCGGGTTCCCTGCATGGAGCCTGCTTCTCCCTCTGTCGGTGTCTCTGCCTCTCTCTCTCTGTGTGTCTCTTGAATAAATAAATAAAATCTAAAAAAAAAAAAAAAAAAAGAATCCAAGTGTAAGTTCCTCAAGACAGGGGCTATGTATTTGTTTTTAATACTTAGCTTGGCACATAGTAGGTACATGGTAAACTTGTTAAATTGGTGACAAGATCTTCCCTGCTCAAATTGTTTATACATTTCAGATTTGTAGCTTTATCATTAGGTGGCGCTGAAAAACCATTTTTCTCCTACATAGAAGATTTAGCTAGGAGACTTTTTTTTTTTTAACTGTGAAATAGTACATTATTTCAGGCTAATGATTGAACTTTTTAAATGGATAAATTAAAATTTAGAAAGGGCTGCTCATCTAAATGAGTTTTCAAAGTAAGCAGTGACTATTTTTCTCATAATACTCTCAAAAGAGTTTATTTGGATTTAATATTTGCTACATGAATGAGAGATACTTGATGTACTTCATTAATCTTTACCCAGTATGTATATATATGCTAAAATATATCAGCAATGTTTGAAAGTTTCCAAAAATATGTTTCACTGTTTCAGACTTTTTTTTTAAAGATTTTATTTATTTATTCATGAGACACAGAGAGGCAGGCTCCCTGTGGGGAGCCCGGTGCCGGACTCCATCCCAGGACTCCTGGGATCTCACAGACACTCAACCACTAAGCCACCCAGGTGCCCCTGTTTCAGACTTCTTAATGAAGTTTCTACTCAATAAAATAGATACATTTCTAGCACAGACATTGACATAACAATGTGTGATGTGAGGCCAGTTAGGCCAATGACCAAGTTCTTTAGTTTTTTTTTTTAAAAAAGATTTATTTATTTATTTGAGAGAGAGTGTGTGCACACACCCACATGAGCAGGGGGAGGGGCAGAGGGAGGAGAGAATCCTCAAGTAGACTCCCTGTTGAGCACGGAGCCTCAAAGGGCTGGATTCCCCTGACCCTAAGATCATGATCTGAGCTGAAGTCAAGATCAAGATCTGAGCTTGACTGACTGAGTCACCCAGGCATCCCATTCTTTAGTATTTTTAATTATTTATTCTTAAAGATGATTTTCAAAATAAGGTTGATGTACCACCTGCATTCATTTCACCTGGGGTGCTTAATTTTGGGACTCCATTCCAGAGGCCTCTGTTGAATCAGAATTTCTGCACTTCTGACAAGTTCCCCATGTAAGTATTCTGCTGAAGTCTGAGATTCACTATTTTCAAACAGGAAAGCAACAGATAAAATAGTTTTAGTTAAATCAAAGAAGTTGTACAGTCACTGTGTCTTTTACTTTTTCCTACTATTTATCCAGTTGTGTCTATTTCAGATTTAGCTTTTCTACTCTGCTACTGTTATAGCTTTGGTGCAGCACATAATCCAAAACATGTTAGAAAGTCTGACATTAAATACCCTTTACAGTCTAGTTCTTTTATATATTATCATGCTTCTTTCCTTACACTTTATCCTGCAGTCATTTAGAACTTTTAGCTTTGGAAAAGAGTTTCCCAGAACCTCTGTGATCTTGTAAATATGGTTTCCTCTGCCTAAAATGTTACTCCTTGTTATTTTTTGTCCCACCTTTTTTTAATCCCATGGATTTACATTTATATTTCAAGGCTTAGTTCAAATGTTGCTTTCTGTTTAAAGTTCCCTAAGCAGAGTTAGTGTTCCATTGTTCTCCATCTGAATGGCATTTAGTTCATACCTCAAATGCATATATCAAGTTGTGTTGCAATTGTTTATTCCAGGGAACTGTGAACTCTGAGAGAGCAGGGATCATGTTATATTCATCTTTGTATTTTTCTAATTTAGGCCTGGCTTCCCATAGGTGCTCAGTAATTGATTTTTCAATGACTAATAAATGAATTAATCACTAAGTGAGGGCATCCATTAACTTACCATATTTGTTTTTCTTAATTATTTTTTGTTTTCTTAATTTAGCTTATATATTTCTATACAGGCTAAAAGCAATGTGTTTTAAGAAATTTTTTGATATTGTTTTCTCTTGAAATAGATTCTGATATTAAAGTACTTGAAGATCAGTTTGATGAAATCATAGTAGATATAGCCACAAAACGTAAGCAGTATCCTAGAAAGATCCTTGAGTGCGTCATCAAAACCATAAAAGCAAAACAAGAAATTCTGGTAAGATGATTTATCTTTTTTTGTTGTCGTTTTTAAAGATTTTATTTATTCATGAGAGACACAGAGAGAGAGGCAGAGACAGGCAGAGGGAGAAGCAGGCTCCCTGCAGGTAGCCCGATGTGGGACTTGCTCCTGGAACTCCAGGATGACGCCCTGAGCCGAAGGTAGATGCTCAACTGCGAGCCACCCAGGCGTTCCATAAAGGTTCTCTCTTTAAGCAGACTCCCTGCTAAGCAGGGAGCCTGACTTGGGGCTCGATCTCCCAATCCCTGAGGTTACGACCTAAGCTAAAACCAAGAGTTGGACACCTAAGTGAGGTGCCCCTATAAATTTACCTCTGAAGCCTTTTCTTTCTGTGTGTCATTTGTGTTTGGCACATTATTTGTATATGATTATATATTTTGGAAGTCCCCTTTAGTTTAAATTGGTGATGAGGATTGAATACCTGTTCAGGGGGCATCTGGGTGGCTCCATCGGGTAAATACCTGCCTTCGGCTCAGGTCATGATCCCGGGTTCCTGGAATCTAACCTGAGTCGGGCTCCCTGCTCAATGGGGAGCCTGCTTTTCCCTCTCCTTCTGTCCCCTGCTTGTGCACACGTGTGCTCGCTTTCTCTCTCTCTCTCTCTCTCTCTCTCTCTCAAATAAATAAAATCGTTAAAAAAATGAATACCTGTTCAGAACACTGATTTGCTGTATGAACTGTGTGTATTTTTACTCTAAAAATCATAATGGGTTGGGAGTAGGTTTGCTGGGAATGATACTGCTTCTGGAGTGAGAAACCCATGTTGTTTTAAATTATGTTATATTCTTTGTCACTAATTTTTGAAATTAGCATGTTTTCACATATAAATCTCCCAGTTGCTTTTTTTGTCAGGAATCATTTTAGACAGTAAATGCTGTCTATGAGAAAAAAATATAAGCAGATATTTTTGCAGATTTTTTTTCTTCCAAAGTGTTTTCAAAGAAATGCCCTATTCTGTCCTCCTACCCCCCCCCCCTTGCTTTTTAAAATTTCTGCAGGAAAAACATTCAAAATGTATTTTTTTCTCTCCCTATTACCCCCTTCTTTCCTGGAAAAAACCTAATCGGTAATCAGTATTACATAAAAGAAAGTTGGCTGACCTAGGTAAGGTACTGCTGTGGAAGTTTAAAAAGATGCAAAATGGATGGATGATGGGATGAGGACACTAAAGGCAGTTCTTTTAGAAAATGTTTTTTGTCTCCTGCTGGCTTCGGGAAGGAGTAAGGAGGAATGTTTTATTCTTTTTGCTGAAGTGTGGATCTTTTTCTAAGTCAACCTTGCACAGGGGCCGTGTAACCTGCTCTGTATCATATGTGCTGTGAAGCAAGCCCATGGATCCTTTGCTATAGTTCTGCTCTTACAGTCTCAGTATATCACAGGGTGTGTAGGCTGCAGTGGGCAGACATGGTAGTGGTCACTTTGAAAAGGGAGTTTCTATAGGCTTTATGAGTTCCAGACACTTGTCTTAAAGTGAACTTTTGAAAAATAATCTATTCATAATTTGGCAATTACGTTGTACTTTAAGCACAAAATTCAGTCTCTGTGCCTTTAATTTGATTGTTTGCTTTTCTTAGACTTTTTTAATGGTGCTATTTCTTAGTGCATGTAGTAGATGGCAATACTATAAAAGGTATAATTCAGACTTAGTTTGATCTTTTCTTTTCCCCTCTTTTCCTACGTATTTCAGGATCTTTTCTTTTCTTTTTTCTTTTTTTTTAAGATTTTATTTAGGGCACCTGGGTGGCTCAGTGGTTGAGTGTCTGCCTTTGGCTTGGGTCTTGATCCTGGTGTCCTTGGATTGAGTCCCGTATCAGGCTCCCTGTAGGGAGCCTGCTTCTCCCTCTGCCTGTGTCTCTGCCTTTCTCTGTGTCTCTCATGAATAAATAAATAAAATCTTTTTTTTTTTTTTTTTTACAAAAATAAAGATTTTATTTGAGAGAGAGGGTGTGAAAGAGAGCACAAGCGCGGGGATAAGTGAGGGACAGTGGGAGAGCGAGAAACAGACTCCTTGCTGAGCAGGGAGCTTGATGTGGGGCTCTATCCCAGAACCCTGAGATGATGACCTAAGTCTCAGGCAGACACTTGCCAACTGAGCCACCCAGGCACGTCCTCCTCCCCTTTTTTTTCTTTAAGAATGGTTCTACCAGCTAATAAGATATATATTAGCTGAAGGAAATATTTACATGAAAGATTGAATGAATAACTTAAATCTGTTTTAATTTATATGTTTAGAAGCAGTACTGCCCTGTTGTACATCCATTGGACCTAAAATATGACCCTGACCCAGGTGAGTCAATGCTCATTTGTGGTAAAAGTGAAACATTAGTTTGTAATTTTTATGAGTTCCTAAACGTTTTTAAAGGTGTCAGCATGAAGGGTATCTTCCCTTTGATGCTCTAACTTACTACCAGTCATCTGTGTTTCGCTCTTCTCTAGGATTATGAGACCTTGCTCTAATTGCACTGACTCAACAATTTCCAGGAGTAGGTCTTAGGAATCTGAACTTTTATAAAGCTCTATCCTCAATTAGACTGTTACATCACCATCTTAATCTCAAACTTCTTTTTTTTTTTTTTTAAGATTTTATTCATTCATTCATGAGAGACACAGAAAGGCAGAGACACAGGCAGAAAGAGAAGCAGGCTCCATGAAGGGAGCCTGATGTGAGATTTGATCCTGGGACTCCAAGATCACACTCTGGGCCAAAGGCAGGCACTAAACCACTGAGCCACCCAGGAATCCCCTTAATCTCAAACTTCTGTTATAGTACCCTCCCATTTCTAAGCGCTGTCCATTCTTTGTATTACAGCCAAAGTTACATTATTAAAGCATTCACGGTGTCACTCTCTAGTGTGATAACTATCATTGGTTTCTCATTGTTTACAAAATAAAACCCAGGGCAGCCCAGGTGGCTTAGCGGTTTAGCACCGCCTTCAGTCCAGGGTGTGAACCTGGAGACCTGGGATCGAGTCCCGCATTGGGCTCCCTACATGGAGCCTGCTCATCCCTCTGCCTGTGTCTCTGCCTCTCTATCTCTCTGTGTGTGTCTTTCATGAATAAATAAATAAAAATTAAAAAAAAAACCCAATGAAAATATAATTTTAAACCTAAGAACACACATGCATACTTGATATACCTTTGAAATCCGTTCTGTTTCCATTTAGATGCATCTTTTAAAATTCAGAGAAATGAAATTGATACAAATTTATGTAAATCCAGCAATAGAATTTACATTGCTAATGTGGGTCATAAATATTTTTAAATGGCTCTATTCTCACATTTGAAAATTTGTAACAGTTTTCCTAAGAGACCTTTTGGTGTTTTCCTTTGACACTCAAAAGTACTATTTCTTTCTAAGATTTTGTTTGTTTGTTTGTTTATTAGAGAGAGCATGCATGCATGCTTGTGCTAGCCAGGGGAGGAGCAAAGGGAGAGGGATAAGCAGATTCTGTGCTGATTGTGGAGCCTGATGTGGGGCTTGATTCCATGACTCCAAGATCATGACCTGAGCTGAAATCCAGAGTCAGATGCTCAATCAATTGAGCCACCCAGGCGCCACGTCCCCTTTTTAAAAAGTATTATTTCTGAACTATTAGAAAAACAGTTAAAACATTTATTTGTATGGGCTATTTAAACTTATGGTTTTGTGTACTTTATCTTTGTCAAATTGTGTACTACTTTCTAGCATGTCCTCTGCCCCTCCTAAATCTCCCAAAGCCAATGGGGATAAACCAAGAGGGGGATGTACAAGCATATAGATACTCAGAAATTTGTTAAAATCACAGCATTCACCCTTTTGACAAATAAAAATTGACTTAGGACCTAATGCTTAATTGTCGTGACTCACTAAAAAAGGGAGAGTTGCCAAAATGCAGTAGTTGACATACACTTGTTTTGATTTTGAACTACATAAAGAAAATAATTGAAACTTGTGGTACCATAAGTACCCAAGTATTACTTTTTTTGTTTTTAAGCAAACTCTGCACCCAATGTAGGGCTCCAACTCATAATCCAGAGATCAAGAGTCACATGCTCTACAACTGAGCCAGCCAGATGCCCCACCCCAAGAATTATTTTTCGATAGTTAGTTATCCACTAAAAATACTTGTAATCTTTTGATCTTAGGAGGGAAATGATCTTTACTTACATGATTATATTTCTACCATTCCAGTTATGTAGTAATTGTGGAAAAATCCTCTGTATCATATGATTCTGACTTCACAATTAAAGGAATAGTTAGAAACTATCTTTTGGATAAATTTTGAGATTTTTTTTTTTTTGGAAAATTTTATTTATTTATTCATGAGAGACACAGAGAGAGAGAGAGAGAGACAGAGGCAGAGGGAGAAGCAGGCTCCATGCAGGGGATGGGATTTGATCCCGGGTCTCCAGGATCACACCCTGGGCTGGAGGCAGCGCTAAACCGCTGAGCCACCCGGGCGTCCCAAATTTAGAGATTTTGTTGTTATACATTATCATAATGTTTATAAACTTAGAATAGCATCAGTTCTTTTTTTTTTTTTTTTTATTCATGAGAGACAGAGAGAAAGAGGCAGAAACACAGGCAGAGAGAGAAGCAGGCTCCATGCAGGGAGCCGGATGTGGGACTTGATCCTGAGACCCCAGGATCAGGCCCTGGGCCAAAGGCAGGCGCTTAACCGCTGAGCCACCCAGGCGCCCCTAATCTTACTATCCTATCTTATTTACGGTGGCATACCTTATAATACTGCATAGCTTATGATACATCTAACTGGTAAAATCATACAAAATTAATTAAAATGGCTTGGGAAAATGGCATAAATTTGTATAGAACCTAAAAGTTTGAATAAGCTGTGTGGGAAAATTTTTGTGGGAACTTCTTGAAAGTTTTTTCTTTTTGTTATTAGAATATTAAGTAATGTCAGATTTATTTGAAGGCTGACATTTTCAAAGTCTGTCTAGTTTTCAAGAAGCAATACTTAGGCATTTTGTATAACATTGATTTGACAGTTATGTTAGGAACTTCTGGGTATACAGAGAAAAAGCAGACAGATTATTCCCTTAAAGAGCTTATGTTTGAGTAAAAGAAATAAGAGATAACCATAAAACAATTCTTTCATACCTTCTAATTAGTTATTTTCCCAGTTTTCCCTGAGTAAATAGCACATTCATCTACATTATTGCTTTAGTTAGAAGTCAACCTTGATCCTCTCCTCCCCTGTAGTCCTCATATCCATACAAATTATTCATTTGAAATATAATCCCACATTCATCTGTTTCTCTTCATCCTATTATCACTTCTGATCTAGGTCATCATCACTTTAGCCAGGGTTTCTACACATGCTTTCTAGAAGGTCTTCCTGTTTCACTCTTGTTCTTTCCCATTATATATATACACATATATATGTCTATATATGTAGGGCAGAGTTGTTTTTTTTAAAATGCTGAAATAATAAGTAAATAAATAAATCTTTAAAAAAATAAATGCTGAAATATCCCAAACATAGAAAATATAGAGTATAACATAATGAACATCTTTCTTGCTACCACTCATATTTAAAGGCTATTCATTCACATTTTGCCACATTTGTTTCAAACCTTTTCAGGAACTAAAAGCTATAGATGCATTTAAAACTTCTTTGTACTCCTTCACTGTCCTATTCTGTTCCCTCCTACTTCACAAGGAATCACTATCTTCAAGCTAAGTGGATCCTTACTGTCCATGTTATTATGCTTTTACTTTATAGGTTATGTAAACATAAGTAATGTATGGCATTTGTTTTTAAATTTTTATATAAATTGTATCATACTGATCATATTCTGCAACCTTTTCCCTGTTGACATTGTATGTACACAAAGCTTTTAATTCATTGAGCTAATACATAGTATTTCAGAGTATGAACACATCACTGCTTAGCCATTCCTGTATTGAGAGACACTTAGATTTTTTCTTTTTCTGCTGTTAAAAATAGTATTACAGTGAACATCCTTATAACTATTTCCTTATATAGTGTAAACATGCCATAGATACTCTGGAGTAGATTCCCAGAAGCAGAATTTCTAGGTCTTGAGGTTTTTGGGTTTTTTTTGTTTTTTGTTTTTTTTTTTTAAGGTTTTATATATTTATTCATGAGAGACACACAGAGAAAGGCAGAGACATAGGCAGAAGGAGAAGCAGGCTCTATGCAGGGAGCCTGATGTAGGACTCAACCCCAGGACTCTGGGATCATGACCTGAGCCAAAGGCAGATGCTCAACTGCTGAGCCACTCAGGTGTCCCATGAGGTTTATTTTTATTCAGCTTCATTACACTTGAACTTTACTATTCATCCAAAGTAGTTGTATCAGTGTACATTCCCATCAGCAGTGTTTAGAAGTTCTTGCTTTCCCACATTTTCCCAACAATTATTACTGTCAGACTTTCTATATATATAAACACATACACATACATTTATTTTTACTTTTGCCAATTTGATAGGCATACAGTTGTATTTAAAGGTTGAGTAGGGATGCCTGGGTTTCTTCTCTGATATGCCTATATATATTCTTTGCCCATTTTTCTGTTGGTTTGTTTGAACTTTTCTTATTTACTTCTAAGAGTTATACATATGGGCACATATCCATGCACACATGTACACACACACATTTGGATATTAATCCTTTGGTTATAAGCACTGTAAATACTTGCTCTCAATTTTTGGCTTGTCTTTTAGCTTTATAATAATCATAAATTTTAACGTAGTCAGATTTACTGTTTTTTCCTTATAATTTTTTTAAACGATTTTATTTATTTATGAGAGACATAGAGAGAGAGAGGCAGAGACATAGGCAGAGGGAGAAGCAGGCTCCATGCAGGGAGCCCAATGTGGGACTCGATCATGGGATTCCAGGATCACTCCCTGAGCTTAAGGCAGACACCCAACCGCTGAGCCACCCAGGTGTCCCTAATTTGTTCTTTCCGTGTCTTTAAGAACTCTTCTACCCAAGTAACATAAAGGTGTTTGATATTTCAAATCAAACTTCAATAAAACAAATATATAGACAAATAAAGGAAAGATACTTGATATTTATAGAGTTTTGATTATCAAGTTTAGGTCCTAAATCCATCTGAATTTTTTTTTTTCATTTTATGAGGAAGGAATCTAATGCTTGCCATACTGATAGCCAGTTGTCCTTGCATCATTGAGCAGTAGTCCCATCTTTTGTCCACTGCTTTGTAATGTTACTCTTTAATATGCTAAGTTTCCATATATTTTGGGGGTCTTTTTTTGGACTCCCTTTATTTCTATTGGTTGACGTGGCTGTCTCT